ATTCCTGCCCTTCGAGAAGCCCCAACACGTACCTCTGGGAGTGAGCGTGGAGCTTGGGCAGCCATGGGCCCTCCCATCTCCCCTACTTCTGGTCCCTTTTCAGATGACCCATCCCCATCACCTGTACTGAAGGTCAGGATGAAGGATAGGTCAAGGGAATGTTCTAGCTGGGCCAAAAGGGAGGTGAGACACTGACTATTGGCAGGGTAGGTGGGCTGGGGCAGCTGTATAGACCACCCAGCTCCGAGCGACCTGGGTGGAGACTGATTTGCGGGAAGGAGGAGAAAGGTGTTAGGTCAGCAGAAGGGACTGGAGGGTGGCCTTGGACACAACGTCTGACCCCCGATGAGGTGTGGGTGTGAGGGTCTGGGCCAGGGACCAGAGGGGCTGGGCTTGTTAAAGATGAACTGGTCTCAGGAATTCCCTGGCAGTCCAGTGGTTAGGTCTCCATGCTCTCACTGCTGAGGGCCCGGGTTCAGTCCCTGGGTGGGGAACTAAGATCCCTCTGTGCCCTGGTGGCTGAGTGTGACACACGACTGGAGATAGACTTACTCTCCAGCCCCAGACTTACTTTCCAGCCCCCAGCCTGTGAGGCCCATGGTGAGGCTCAGGGCAGCCGCCTGTCATCGGGGAACACAGGAGAGAGGCTATGGGGAAGGAGAGGAAGCTGGAGCTCCAAGAACATGCTTGGAGAATATGTGAGAAGGCAAGTGGCTGCACTCCCCCACAGGGGGCTAGGATTGTGGTCACTCAGGCAGCAACATCCACATGCCTCGTGTGTACTCCCAGACTTCTGAGACCATGGGGACATCGGGGTTACACCCACTATTTCCATCAGTGTGGAGTAAGGGGATCCCAAGACTCTGCCAAGGGACCCCTAATGGTATTGCTGTAGAAGGCAGAATTCTCACATGAAAATGATAAACCATTTCCCCGGAAGTCCCCAGATGTGATGTGTCCACAGCAAAGGCCTGGAGGGCAGGCTTGGAATGGTGCCTGCGCTCTCCAGGGAGTTTAGGTAAAGACTGTACCCTGAGTTCAGCTGCAGCTCCTGCCTCAGCAGCTCCTGCAAGGTGGGGCCAGAGGCCACCAGGACTGAGACCATTTAGAAGCCCAGCAGGGGGTGGCCTCCTCCAGCCCTGCAGCATAGTTTCTATCAAAAGTGCTTGGGGGGCTTCCCTGGTGGCGCAGTGATTGAGAGTCCGCCTGCCGCTGCAGGGGACACGGGTTCGTGCCCCGGTCAGGGAAGATCCCACATGCTGTGGAGCGGCTGGGCCCGTGAGCCATGGCCGCTGAGCCTGCGCGTCCGGAGCCTGTGCTCCGCAACGGGAGAGGCCGCAACAGTGAGAGGCCCGCGTACCGCAAAAAAACAAACAAAAAAAAACCTGGTTAAAAAAAAAAAAAGTGCTCGGAGGCCTCTGTAGCTCAGCTCTGCAAATCACCATGTGGTTCTACGTACACAGCTCCCTGGCAGGGCGCCCCCCCATGGCTACAGAGTTAGAGCTGCTACTCCAGGGCAGAGTTCACCCCAGCCAGTACCTGGGAAAGAGGCTCTTCAAACCCTCTTGCTTTCAGCTTCTCATTCAACCTGGGTGACTTCAAGCAAGCCACTGAACATCCCCAGGCCTTGGGCTTTTTCTTATTGGGATCTGAAGGCAGAGATCCTGAGCAGCCCTGACACTCAGTCACCTCCAAGCTGGACACCTGCAGAGGCCTCTGGAGCCCAGCAACTGTGCATCTTCCGGAGAGAGGCCCCATGGGGTGGAAGGATGCCCTCCGGCTGGTGCTGGAGCCCCTGGGCTGCAAAGGAACAGAACTCCCTGGTTCTTTACCTTGTTCTGGCAAAAGTGACCTGTTGGCCAAATCTCTTACTCATGACTGTAAAGAACGAAAGCTGTGCTTATATGAAAACTTTCTCAGTGGAAAGAATGAACCACTCCTCATCCCAGGGACAAACCTATGTGTTATCGGCTTTTCCCAGCCTGGTATTTCTGCCGTATTTAGAGGAAAACTCTGTTTTTCTTTTTAAGTTGTTTTCAGGGGGCATGCAGACACTTCTCTAGACCAGGCCATTATGGGGCTGAGCAGACTGCTTTGAGGTCAAGCAGGTGACCCCCTCCTGCTAGCTGGGAGCAGTCTCCAAGGAGACTTAGTGGCACCCAAGGCAGGGTTTGGCAGTGTATGTATGTGAATTTAAGGGAAGAAAACACTGGGAGTGGGAGAATGCGCATCATTTCTGAGGAGAAAGAAAATATTTGAACCCTTCTTCAACCTTTTGCCAGGGAACCAGCCAAAAACAAGGAGGAGACACCAAAACTGAAATGGTTCATTCATGTTTTATGAAACTTTCCCACCCAACAGAATCTATCCTACACAGAAAAACAAAAAAGAAAGTAAGTTAGGACATTTTCACAAGCTGGGGCATTACTAGATATGGAAGCTGCCCAGGACCTAGGTGCCAACTCTGCGAAATTGGGGAAACGAATTTCCACCCACTGGAGTCTCAGAAGGGAGAGAAATCCCTTCTTCCAATCCTTGAGTCCTTGGAGAAACTCAAGCAGCCATACATAACCAACAGGGGCTGGGTTTCATTTATAAATAACCCAAGAACATTTTGTTGTTTTCAATTTTTTAGGGCTGGGTTTTCCCAGCACACAAGGCTCTAGGGAGATGTGAAAACCATGGCAGGTCAACATGAGAGCTGCTGGGACAAACTTGTGGAACCCTCATTCAGGCCACTAGACAACCACCTCTTTCAGTATCCTCAGCCTCGGGCCCTTCTCTGGAACATCCCAGAAATCACATCTCCGGGGTGGACCCTTCAAAGTGCCATGTAGGAGGTAAGTCCTTTGGCTTCTAAGGCTGGCCCTGGAAGTCTCGACTGGGCCTGCCAGAGGCTCCTGGTCATCAGCTGGCACAGAGACTCTGGTGACAGCCCTGCCTAGGGGTCTCAATATCCCCGTTTAAGGAGAAAGCCAAAGAAAGAGTCTCATGGCTTCTGTGTTTTACTGTGATTGATGAAAAGAATACTAATGAAATCCCAAATAAAAGCAGTAAGTCAGGGACCTAAGACTGCAGACAGGGCTGGAATTACTCAGCTGCTCTCCAATGGTCAGGGAGGGGGAGGGAAGGCAATCGGTTTAATGTGATTTATTCCCTCAGAAGGCACTGAGACCTGATCCTACAAGGAGTGGGCGATCAGACCTCCCATCTGGGAGTTCCCTGGCGGTCCAGCGGTTAAGACTCCATGCTTCCACTGAAGGGGGCGCGGGTTTGATCCCTGGTCCAAGAACTAAGATCCCACATGCTGAGTGGCGCGGCCAAAAAAATATTAAAACAACGGGAACAAAACTCTCATCTCGCCCCCTCTTGACTCAGCTCCCCTAATATTCTGCTTATTCTCAGTTTTGAGTTCCTGCCTCTGTCCTCTTAGACTACCAGCCTGCTTTCTTCCCTGATAACAGGCACCAGCCTTCAAGGCTCCCACATTTCCCAGAAGCCAGAAAGTTGGACATGAGGCCTCCAAGTTCCCAGGTGCACCTTAGATCTGTCCAGGAGCACCCACCACCCCCACCTCTGGCACTCTGGTGTCCTGATACTGGTTACATAACAATCCCAGTCTCCAAAGCTTTGACATCACCCACTGAAGATTCTCACCAGCCTGGACAGCCAAGGGGCCCTACATGTGGCCGGGGATGATGGTGGGGGAATGAGCCTAATGGAACAGCCAGGAACTGGTTAAGGGCAGGAGGAACAGGTCAGAGTAAAGCATGGTAACTGGTGGTGACCCAGAGAGGAAAGCGGAAGTATTTGGGTTTTTTAATTCCCCCTAAGTTCCCACAAGATTTCACTGTTGCCCCATGTTTCCCCTCCACCCCACATAGGGAATTTCCGATTTCACTTCCTCAAAACTCAAGCGCTGGCGGGCCTCGGCTTCCTCTTAACATCCCCCGCACAGATGCAGCCTCTTTAGGGAGGCCATCTCTTTTCCCCCACATGTTATATGTCATATGTGTCCTCCACTGCTAGTGTCCATCTCCCAATTCTTGGCCTGAGGGGAGCACAGGCCTCTTGCTGCTGGTTGGTCTTTCCCCATCGGCCTCCTCCCTTCCCATTTTTCTTTCCCCAATCACCACCCCGCCTTGGATGTTCTACTCCCTCAGCTTCCTCCATTACTTCACTCCTGTCTCTCCCTCTCCCAAAGCAGATAAAAGATGAGGGGATGAGAAGGCGTGTCAGAGAAGCAGGGGCGAGTGGAGGAGGCAAGGAAGGGCGGTGCAGACAGGAGGCGCTGGGGATTCTGAGCGAGTGGGAGGAGGAGGACCGTACCTGGGGGAACTGCGGGTGGGGCGCGTATTCAGGGTACTGGGGGGGGTCTAACTGGGGGGTCTCGCCGGGTATGGAAGGTGCGCAGACACTGGGACCTCCTCGCTCCGGACTCCCACTTCCAGCCTTCCCAACCGCAGCACTCCCGCGAGCCGTCCCACAAGGGGCGGGGCGAAACAGGTGCGGTTGCCAAGGCACCCGGGCCGGGGCAAGCGGAACAACCGGCGCTCGCGAGATTTGGAATCGGCCAATGGGAGGTGGGGGAGGGGAAGACGTGGCGCAAAGCGCGTGGGCGGGGCTCCTCCTTCACCCCTTCCCAACTCCCCGCGGCCCCGCGTGGCTGCGGTGCGCGCGCCCGAACGCGCGGCCCGGCCTTATAAAGGGAGCACGGCGAGGCGCGCGCTCCACTGCGCAGAGGGTGCTCCGTGGGCCGTGCCGTACGCCTGCGCAGTGCGGGCCGCTCCCCGCCCCCTGCCCCGCCGCTCCTCAGCCGGCAGGCCCGGCCCAGCTTCGGCTACTCGCCCTCGCCCGGCTCACAGCTGCCGCTCTGCCCTGCAGCAGCCAGCCCGGCCTCCGGCAGCATGTTCAGCTGGGTCAGCAAGGATGCCCGCCGCAAGAAGGAGCCGGAGCTCTTCCAGACGGTGGCCGAGGGGTTGCGGCAACTATACGCGCAGAAGCTGCTGCCCCTGGAGGAGCATTACCGCTTCCACGAGTTCCACTCGCCCGCGCTGGAGGACGCTGACTTCGACAACAAGCCTATGGTGCTCCTCGTGGGCCAGTACAGCACGGGCAAGACCACCTTCATCCGGCACCTGATCGAGCAGGACTTCCCCGGGATGCGCATCGGGCCCGAGCCCACCACCGACTCCTTTATCGCGGTCATGCATGGCCCCACCGAGGGCGTGGTGCCGGGCAACGCTCTCGTCGTCGACCCGCGGCGCCCTTTCCGCAAGCTCAACGCCTTCGGCAACGCCTTCCTCAACAGGTACCCAACCCTTTGACCCGGGGGGCAGAGGGAGTGGCCGGGGTCCCGACCGTCCTGTGACCGCCGCCCCCGCTGTTCTTTGTCTCCGAGGCCCCCGCGAGACCCTTAGCGACCACTCCCTGGGACTGGGTCCCCTGCCGCTTCCCACAGAAAACCCTTACGAGGGGGTCTGCGAGTGGGCGTCGCCGGCTCCCCTGGCTCCCCAGAATTTTCCAGGTTATCGGTTTAACTCCCAACCCCCCTGGCAGATCCCAGACTCACTACTACTCACTACCCCTGGATGCACCTAATTCATTCAAACGAACCCCTTCACCCCTCCCTTCACGGGTCTGTTTCTTAAGTGTCACGGAAAACTACGGTGAAACTTTTAGCCGTTCCCTTTGCTGGTGTGCTGTGCTGTGCCTCCCCAGGGACCGGTGGGAGAGGATCTGCTGTGGCCTGCTGAGTTTGGGGCGGCCTGCAGAAGCAGCAGACAGGGCGAGGACCAGCACTTCTCCCAGGGGCAGTTCTGAAGGTCCTGCGCTGCTTTAGGGGTTTCAGGGGTAAGGGTCTGTGCTGCCAGGCGGTGGGCCCTGGAGCCCTGGAATGAGATTCCGGCTGCTTAGACTCACTAGGATGTTCCCTAACCTACTTGGGCCTCAGTTTCCCCAGTTAAATGGGTAAAACTCTGATGAGGGTAATTCTCCGAGGTTCTAACCTTCACGATGCTATGAATGAAATGCATTGGCCTCCTGTCTCAGGAGTGCTACAGCCAAGTTCACTTTTCTCTAAAGGAACTAACTCCAAGGTCCTGCTCAATGGGGATTCTAAAATCCCTCCCCCCACCCCCAGGGGACATACCAAAGGACTTCACAAATTTGTCATTTCTGCCAAACCCCATTCAAGGAGTGACTCCACACGCCTTTCAAAGTCTCGTCTGGGGAAGAGCTTAGGAAAGAATCCTTGACTCTTGTCTTCCAGAAGGTCTCCACCCTGTATGATCACATTCCTTTCCAGACACTGTCCAGCCGCACAGGGTAGACCAGCGTGCCCTCGATCCAGGCCAGAGGCCAGGCCTACCTCTGTGCGCAGAGTTGACCTTTAACGGAGAAGACAGGCAGTCTTCTGTTGTCTTTTTGCCTCTCTCAGGCATTTAAACCTGTCTTCCTGTTTCAAGGCTGATGGCGTTTGTGAGTCAGGGCCAGAGTAAAGCCCTTTGGCTGAGACTCCTGAAGAGGCAGGGCTCTCCTAGCCAGGAGCCCGCCTCCGGGGATACTGGGGTTTGAGAATTGTGCCTGTAGGTAGGCGATTGGCTGGCTGTCAGCTGGTGGGGGCCATACGGTCCAGTGGAAAGTCTGGCTGCTGTGCTGGGAATTCCAAGCATTATTAGGTCTGCTTTCCTGGAGAAATTTGGGAAGCTTGAAGGAAGGAGCTACACCTCCTGCTGTCCTTAGGTGTCCACTTTTGATTGTGAGAGGTGACCTTTTTTGTAAGGAGAAATGGGCGTACGACCTGTTTTCTGAATTTAGAGATCTAAAGTTTCAGAGCTGGGAGGGATCTTAGACATCAGCTAGGCAACCCCCACCTCATTCAGGAAACCGCGGCTCTCAGAGCCTAGCTGATTTGTCGAGTTCACGAGCCGGTGAATGCAGTGCCAACTGTCTGCCTTTGTGCAGCCAGTTACCACCTCCTGCTGCTTCTCCCTGAAAAAAAGAGCATTTCAGGGGTGCCGGGTCGAAGAGAGGCATCCTGATGATACCAGTGCCACAGGATCCGAGAGCCACACTTTTATTTCCTTCTGCCCCACTTCATCTCCAGAGGGTCCCAGAACACTAGTAATGAATGGCCCTGCCGGAAGGGGCCTCATCAGCCAAGGGTTGGGGTGTGGGTTTGCACTGGAGCTGAGGCCTCCAGCTGTGTCAGCCTGTGTAGTACACCAGCGCCGCCCAGCCAGCCGGGGCACACAAAGGGGGCTTTTCAGTGGCTGACACAGCCTCTCTCGCACTCTTAAAGAGACTCATTGAATCATGGACTGGACTTCCCAGCCTCTTCCCCCTAAGTGGCTGCTCTAAGGCTAAAATCAGAGAGAGCAGGCGGCAAGGTGCAGCCACGGTATCCTAAGAGTATCCTGAGTAAACTCATTGTGTAACTGGTAACTTGTAGCTCAAGATGAAATCTGTGCGTCCTTGTTGGTGAGGAAACAGGATAGGATGCATCTGTACTGCCTGCTCCCTCTCGTATTTTCGGCCTCACTCCCCAGGCTTTGCAGAGCGCCCGATCCGCAGAGATGTTAACTTACAAGGCCCTTCACAAGGCATTTTTATGTATGTTGCTTCTCAGAGCCAAGTCCTCTTGTTTTGGTTTTCTCTCGGCTGACTCCTTCCCCAGCAGGAGCCCCAGTTCGAGCAGTCCTTTACAGCACGTGTGCTCTGCTGCTGGCACGGTGAGGATGAGGTCCAAGGTTTCTTCATCCTGCGGGTCAGCTGCTTCTCTGTTGTGCTTGCAGGCAGTACCTCTCACCCTGGCCAGCTGCCCCCGCCTCTGGGCCGCGGGTCACTTGTGGGGTGGGACCAAAAGGGGAAGCTAATCATGGCAGATTCCTAGACAATGGGCCAGTATTTTCTTTGCTCACAATACCTTTTCCAGAGAAGTGTTTAAAGGAGCCTTTTCTGTGTCCAGTCAAGAATCTCTGCTATCGGTTGGGACAGCCCTTGCTGTTCTGGGCTGTTCTAAACTCAGTGGGAACTCAGGCACACACAGCTGAGCCGTGGTCCGTGAGTTGCCAGCCTCTCTGTTCTTCCTCCTTCTGCCTTGACGTTGAGAGAATGGTGTCTGCACTTCCCTGCCCCACCATGTACCAGCCTGCGTGGTCCCCTGCCTGTCAGCGGCCGCCCACTGCAGTCCCTTCACCTGAGCAGCTGGGTTGAAGGGAGGGCTGGCCCCAGCAGCAGTAGGACAGGACCATCTCTTGCAGCGTGGAAATTTAGCCAAGTGGTTGAAAATTTTAATATGGAATTCCAAGGTCTCAGTTGTCACTCTTCTCTATTCCTTCCGGAATTGAATGGTGACCCTATGCTTGTGCAGTTTTCACTAACACGTCAGCAACTTGAAAGTTGAATTCTCGAGCTCTGGGAGAAAAGCTAAGTGAGGGAAGTGCTGATGTGAGTCAGTTGGAGCCTGCTGGTTGGATTCCCAGTTAAGACAATATGTGCAATTTGCTGGTCACCCCTGGAAACTTTTTTTTTTTTTTGGCCTTGTGGCTTGCGGGATCTTAGTTTCCTGACCAGGGATGGAACCCGTGCCCCCTGCAGTGGAAGTGCAGAATCCTAACCACTGGACCACAGGGAATTCCCACCCCTGGAAACTTAAGACAATAGAAAGCCTCCTTTCCGTTCCTTTCTTCTGGAAAGGAAGCCAGAGGTGGAGACGAAGGAGTACAGAAATCACTGCTGTCCCATCTCGAGCAGCGATACCCGAGTCTTGACATCTCTCTTCTGGGCTCTTGCTCTCGTGCAGGTTCATGTGCGCCCAGCTGCCCAACCCGGTCTTGGACAGCATAAGCATCATCGACACTCCCGGGATCCTGTCTGGAGAGAAACAGCGCATCAGCAGAGGTAAACAGGCTCTGACACAGCCCAGGGCACCTGGTGTAGTCAGACGACTTCCATCTGACATCTGTGACACGGACCAAATGCTGCCCAAGTCTCTCCCAGCCCAAGTGAAAACCCATTTTACATCAGCCTTGTATCTGCATGGTACGCTGAGCCCAGTGGGGGCCGGAGCTTGCTTTTTCCTTGGTTCCCTTTGCTGAGGTTACAAGAGCCGTCAGGGTGAGACAACAGCCAGTTTTATGTGGTTTTCAAGCTTCCCAGCCCCTGGGGCCTTCTGGAAAGGAAGGCAGGATCCTGGCTGGCTGTGAGGTCCCAGGAGATTGCCCCGTGTCTGGGCTCCAGATACCTTAGCCAGCATTGCTGTTCTGAATGAGCCCCTGGCTCCCCTGGGGCTCATTCACCTTAGTTTGTGTTTAAAAGCTTTGCCTCCCAGAGCTGTATAAATTCCTAGTGGGTCCAGCAGGACTGTGAGAGAACAGTTTGACTTGAAAGAGCCACAGCCAAAAGGAGAAGCTAGCAGGAATTTGTTAAACATGTTGGGCCTTGGAAATGTGTTTAAATTTGCTTAAATGTTGGTCATCAGTAGCCTTCCTGGGTGCCGTGCGTGGCGTAAGGTTTTCATGCGGAGTATTAGTGCATCAGGCCCATTCTAGTTGTGTAAACTCCTGTCTTGAGTGTGCCAAGCTTTTCTAAAAATCTGGTTCAGGATGCACCTGAACTGGGTTATATTTCTGCCGCTGCCCCTTTTTGTAGAAGGGAGGGGAGCCTCGCACCTGAATGCTCTCTGGGAGGAGCATGGGGGCCGCCTAAGAGTGGAGCCTGCAGCTGCAAATGTAAAAATGAAACAAGATCAGACTCAGAGGGGGTTGAGGACAAGTGGCCAGATTTGTTTATCATTAACTTGCAAATCTCTCCTGTACCCCCTTTCCCTCCGGGCCGCCCAGCATTAGTGAGCTTTGCAGTTGAAGCCAGCAGCCTGAGATTTGGGAGGCAGTGTGTCTCTGCTGAGGCTGTGAGGGGGTGGGGGCCCCATTTTCAGTGCTGAGAAACCCTGCTTCTCTTTTTTTCCCCCCGGCTTGTGGGCCCCTGCCAATAGGGGGTTTCATCAGAACATACTGAAACTGCTCTCTGTCTCTCAATCTGGTTTAAACTTTTATGTTCTCCACCCTGATGATAATGACACTTCTAGGGGAGGCAAGGGCCAGTTTTTTCTTTCTTACTGCTGTTATTGTTCTAACCTGGTTTTAAGAAAATGCCTGATAAACAAGGCTTTTGCCTTGTCATTTGCCAGAGCAAGGCTAGAAAATCTGAACAAGTTACTCTTTTCTTTTAATAAATTTGTTTATTTTATTTATTTATTTTTGGATGCATTGGGTCTTCATTGCTGCGCGCAGGCTTTCTCTAGTTGTGGCAAGCGGGGGCTACTCTTCGTTGCGGTGCGCGGGCTTCTCATTGCGGTGGCTACTCTTGTTGCGGAGCGTGGGCTCTAGATGCATGGGATTCAGTAGTTGTGGCGCATGGGCTCAGTATTTGTGGCGCACGGGCTTAGTTGCTCCACGGCATGTGGGGTCTTCCCGGACCAGGGATCGAACCCATGTCCCCTGCATTGGCAGGCGGATTCTTACCCACTGCGCCACAAGGGAAGTCCCTGAATTAGTTACTCTTAAAGAGAAAGACCACAAAAGGGAATTTATTCTCCATCTACCTCCAGGATTGAGCTATCCTGGAGGGACTTTCTTTGAGGCTCTGTAGAGTTATGTCTTTAATGACCTGGGGGAATACGCTGGGGAGGAGTTCTCCCAACTGGGAGCTATCAGATCAGATAGGTCAGTTGATGTGAACGCATCTTTGGATAAGGGACAATAATAGCTCATAAAAAGAGGCTTATCGGGCTTCCCTGGTGGCGCAGTGGTTGAGAGTCTGCCTGCTGATGCAGGGGACCCGGGTTCATGCCCCGGTCTGGGAGGATCCCACATGACACGGAGGGGGTGGGCCCGTGAGCCATGGCCGCTGAGCCTGCGTGTCCGGAGCCTGTGCTCCGCAACGGGAGAGGCCACAACAGTGAGAGGCCCGCGTACCGCAAAAAAAAAAAAAAAAAAGAGGCTTATCCTCCCCCAAATGCCACACTCCTTATATCCTTCAGAGCTGGCAGTTAAGGTGTTTGAGGGAGGTCTTCCCTGGTGGCACAGTGGTTAAGAATCCGTCCACCAGTGCAGGGGACACGGGTTCGAGCCCTGGTCTGGGAAGATCCCATAAGCTGCGGAGCATCTAAGCCCGTGCACCACGACTACTTGAGCCTGCGCTCTAGAGCCCGCGAGCCACAACTGCAGAGCCCGTGCACCACAACTACTGAAACCCGTGCACCTATAGCCCGTGCTCCACACAAGAGAAGACACCGCAATGAGAAGCCCACGCACCACCACGAGGAGTAGCCCCCGCTTGCCGCAACTGGAGAAAGCCCGTGCACAGCAACGAAGACCCAACGCAGCCAAAAATAAATTTTAAAAATAAATAAATAAATAAAGGTACTTGAGGGAAAGCCTTAGGGTCCTTATGGCCCCTGTTGAACTCAGAAACAGCAGTTTTCCACCAGTGCTGTGAAGTTCCCCTGCTGGGCTGTCTTTGACACTTCAGCCTGGGGCCTTAGTCTCAGCAGACTGAGGAGTTCAGAGTGTCTAACACTGTCTTGCTGCAAAGAGTATCCTGGCCCTGCCTGCTGGGGTGTTTCCCTCCCCTGCCTCCCCTTCCCTCTGCTTCCTTACCGCGTTAGTAGAAAGGCAGGCAGTGGTGTCCAAACTTGCTCTCTGTGGGACAGGCACCAGAGCAGTGCCTCAGCGTGCTCTCCAGTCAGGCACAGGGTGCATCTCACTGGTGGGGACCAGACAGTCCTGGCCCGCAAGTTACCCATGTAGATGGCAGACACTTGGAGGAGGAAGCCAGCAGGAGACTGCCTGAATTCCCCCGCAACCCTGCTCGCTTACAGTGTGGCCCCTCTGGGTCCCTGGCAGCCAGGGACCCTCCCCCACCCATCATGGGTAGGAAGAAGGAGGTTGGCTTAAAGACAAGTGCGTCACTCTCATTGGAGGAGGGCTTTCCTCCTGTGCAATAGAGATCTTTCCCTCCATAACCCTAGAGGTCTTGGTTTAAAGTATTCTACTAACAGTTACCAAGTTGGGATTTCCCGTGGGATGTGTTTGGAGTCAGCGTTTTATCAGTGGAGAAGAAAGACCATGGGGCGGTACCTCTTAGACGTGCTGGGTGTGGCCTCCGGAGTGGTGTTCTCCAGGTGGACACAGAAGGGGTAGGTTTCTCCTTCTTGGAGACCCCATTCATCTGTCATTGCAAAGGTCCCACGTCACCTGGCAGAGGAAGTCGGAGTAGGACAATGTGTTCCAGGCTCCCTGGCGGCCACCTCTCTGCTCCCTTTGCTGACGGTGTGGAAGGCAGGTGTTTCCCTCCCAAAAAGATTGGGCCAACAGAAAACGTGTGTCCTGGGCAAGCGGCATGCATTTCCGTGGTCTGTCGACCTCATCCCCTGGAAGCAGAGCATCCTTCTGGAGGCTGCGTAGACGTTAGTGTCACTAATTACATTTACTTCCAGTTCCCACCCTCTCTGCCTAGCCCCTCCTGACTTTTTCCCGTTTCCCCATGGTGCTTAATGTGTGCAGGAAATACTGTGTGGAAAGATAAGGTAAGGCCTGAGCAGGCCCAAAGCTGTCGGGATACACCCAAGGCTCTGCAAGAGACCCCTGAGAATTGCTCCAGGGAAGAGTAGGAGCCTCTGTGGGGTCCTGGGCTGCGCCTCCCCGTTGTGCTCATCTCCTGAGTGCCTTTAAAGATAAAGTTCTCTTGTGTCAGCAGAGAAAGGTGACCTGCGGGGACAGTGTTCATTCTTGGGTGCTGCCCGTGTGACTGATAAAAGGCATTCCAGAGGGCATCTGGGGCCCGGCGGAGCTGGTGCCTTGGGCTCCCAGGCTGCTGGCCGCCGGCACAGTCGTGGCAGGACCTGGGAGGGAGCAGGTCTTCCCGTGTGGGTCCTCTGTGGGCAGCGGCCGGAGGCGCTTTGATGGAAGCTTCAGCCCGGGGGCAGGGGCCTGGCCAAAGCACCCCCGCCATTGTCACTGCGAGGCTGTGAGCTGAGCTGTAACTTTTGGGCCTCATTTTCCCCCATGGGAGTTGAGTCAGCAAGGTCAAGTTGTTTCAGCTTGGACTAGGAGACAGAGCCCGGCCAACCTCATGCCTGGCTCTCTGCTGGCCTCTGCCATGGGAACCAGCCCTACTCGATTATTGCAGCGGCTGCATCTGTGAGGAAGCTGCTGCTCTTCAGATGAGGAAACGGAGGCTTAGCAAAGTTAAGTAGCCCAAGAGGACATAGGCTAGCACGAGTTGGTGGTGGGATTTGAACCCAGCAGAGTCCGTGCTCACGCCGCAGTGTGCTGAAGACCGGTGCTCTGGGCTAAGGAGCTCCGAGAACTTGGCTCGGAAGCGCCCTTAGCCCTGTCAGGCCGGTGCTGGGCCGGGCTCAGCTCTTCCCGGAATGCCCAGAGGCCTCACTGCTTCTCTCCCCACCCGAGATCAGACTCCCAGTCCAGAAATGGGCCTGAGGTTCAGGGCTTTGAACAGCAGTGCTGAGACCTGCTTTTTTTCTCCCTATTCTCTGCCTCCAGCTGGAAATTCCCACCCCTGCCCCCCCAGCCATCCATGGACAGACCTTAGGAGCCCTGGCTATGGCTGGCTGTTCCCCTGGGTTCTCACTTGTCCCCTGGGTTCTCACTTGTCGCCCCGGCTGACTATCCCTGGATCCCAGGCTCCATCCAAGCTCAGGAGCCATCTGGCTCAACAGTCAGGTAGGGGCTCCCTGGCCCAAACCTGGAGCCCTCTGACCCACAGGTGTCCCTTCCTGCTGGCCACCTCCTGAGATGCCCCAGTCCTAAACGCCCTCCATGCCAGCGTTTCACGAGGGTTTTCTGCGCCCCAGAGAATGGCTCCATGAGGCTGCCTCA